ATGAAATCTCTGTCAGTCCACTTGGGGCTTCAGGCTTCAGGCGGTGGCGGTGGCAGCTCCCCTCACAGGCGGCAGTCATTTCCCTGTAGCTGCACGGATGTTTCTTGGGCTCTGGCTATCTCCTTGTCAGTGAGAAGATGGAGAAACTGCAGCACAGAGTCACTTACAGTAGGTTCTGGGGTGTGGTTTTAGGTCTCGTTGGCCTTCCTGGGACCACCAATGTGAAGATGCAGTTTTCCACTTGCCTGGACCCACAGAGGTTTCTAAGGGTTTCCTCACAGGAGCACTGGGTCTCTATCAAAGACTGTGGAGAACATGGCAAGAGGCTTCCCCTTCTTACTCCCCAAGAACCTTGGGTTGACCATTAGTACTTGCATCACTGGTTCACACTATGACAGATGAGGCAGAGATCATTACAGCAGGTGGCTGTATGTTAGTTACAATTACCCAAACGTCTTTCACGCAGATACCAACGACCAATGTGATGGTCTTACTAAGATCCAACAAATTCATGTTCTTTTTCTCCTTGAATGCAGGACTGCTGGATGAATGGTCAGTGGTTCCCACCCTGAAGTGACTCCACAAATCTCATTTATTTCCTTCTAGTTTTCCATCCTTATCACATGTGCTGACATCTCCCAGAGACACCCGTAATCAGACTCCTGCTTTGATAGCTCCAGGTGGATCCTTGTGTGCTCTTTCCTCCTCTCTGCCTTTCCTGTTGGGTCTCAGGCACTGTTGTGAGAAAAAGCTTTGGAGGATGAACAGCATGGGGTCATCACCCCGGGTACTGACACCTCCTGAGCGGCTTCTGAGCTCTTATTGAAGGACAATCTGATTAGGAAGTGAAACCTGAGAGCTACCATTCAAAAGTGGACAAAGTGCTCTGGAAGATTCTGTGGTTTTCTTTAAAATTCCCCTTCATCATGAAGTCTGGTTTTGCTCACTCAAGTGATTGCATCATCAGAGTGTTATTTTGATCTTTCCTCCCAGAAGAGGCTTTTGTTTAAGAATCAGGGTTTATGTGATTGGACAGCTCTCCTGAAGCTCAGTAAATAATTCTGAATGTCTGGCATCTCCCGCAATCACAGCTTTAGGGTCAAGGTTGGATTTTATAAATGAAATCAGAAGCTGGCATTGCCCACACGTGTTTTGAGGCTTCATAGATGAAGGGCGCTGAGGTGAATGGAATAATCACCATAGAATCGATCCAAAATGTAAGTGTTTTCAGAAACAGGGGGAAATATTAAACACCTTCTTAAATTTAACAATGATTTTCAGCGTTTCTAAAGAAATTAGAGGTCAAGCCTTGGACTTGCGGGACCCATAACATCCTGGAACAGACATCTAAAATGCACTTCTGATGACTGTGTATGTACCATATGCTTAAGGAATAGAGCCATGCCAGTCCATCTTACCTTAGCTTCTAGACTAGGAAAACACAGCTCCACACATGCAAATGAGTGCCCCATACGCAAATGAAAGCATTTATATTGAGGGAGCAAAACAAGATTGAAGAATCTGTCTTTTTTGGGGAGCAGTTTCAGGTGAACCACTTTTGGGATGATGGGTGGTGGAGGAGAGGGCTGGAATTCCATCATCACTGGTGACATCACCCAGCTGCACATCCTGTGATTCATTGAGAGAGAAACTGTCCCAGGCACCCATGTGGTTTTCCCACGACAATCTCACCAGAGACCTATCCTCTAGGTGCTAAGAGTGGGTGATCCTTCACCAAAGGCATGGTAGGGGGTGGGACTCCATGTGGAGCATTCTTACAATAAAAAAAATACTGTCAATAAGGAAGATGCCATTGACACATTTGTGTAATGTCTACTAGAATATTCCACTCTGGGAAGTGTCATCGAGGGAAGAAGTTTCTTCTGCTGGGGACTTGGCCTAAAGAGCCTGAGTTATCTTGGTCTTTATGTGTTTCCTTCTTGCTGTAAGGGAAACATGTCATTCCTTCCTGTTTGTGGAGGGCAGCAGTGTGTAAATAAACAGACCCTGAGTCTTTCCCCTCCACTGCACGGAGGTCTCTGAATCAGCATCAAGGGTACCAGCGTCTTCTCCGGTTGGGAGAGAACCGGATGCCAGGGTAGGCACTAGCTGCAGGATAATGACCCATTCTGGCACAGTGAACTGATGACATGAAAAACTGAATGCTTGACATCTCTAACTTCTCACATCAGCACCCTCTTTCCCCTACATGATGCTCACAGGAATTAAAAAAAAAAAAAGAAAGGATTTCTTCTTCTTACCACTTCAACAAGGAAAGGGGGTCCTCATGATTGTCTCCCTAACTTGAGCCCCCAACCCTTTCTATCCTACAAGGTTACTGACGTGTTCCTTCAGCATGAGGGTGTTGGGTTTCTCAAGGGGATGCAGCTGGCCACAGCAGAGACCCCAAAAGAGAAGGGAGCCATGCAGGGAAGTTACACAAGGACAAAGAGAATGCTCACCACACAATGAGAGAATGGAATTCCAAGCCCAAGTCCTTTCATCCGAGCCACCGTGACTAGCCCATGACCTCTTCTGTGTCCTATGACATTTTTTCTTTTTTTGATATTTATGGCTGCCAACCTTCCTCTTCTGCTTTGCACATTTACCTTGATGAATTTCTCATCTAAAGGGAAAAACCATCTGCAACCCAAGAAGAACCCATTCTTAAAGGGGAACAACGGGGCAAGCAGGGGAGGTAGAAAGGAGGGCAGGGCTGGTGCCAAAATAAATGGAATCTTCCTAAAGCTGGTCCAATGACTAGCTACTGCAGATGTAGCCCAGCCTGCCCATAAGCCCTGACATAATCCTCTACCGTGAGACCAAGGGAGAATTTCCCCCCATGCCTATCAGTTGACACAAGAAGTCTCTCTTATAGAGGGCAGATACCCTTTGGAATTCGGCAAAGCAAACTCAGAACTCCATAAGCAAGGGATGAAAAACGTGTTCTCCTTGAGTTCTCACTGTTTGTTTCTTTTAAAATGTGTGTGTGAGCAGGGCATAGTGGTACACACTTAATCCTAGCACTTGGGAGGCAGAGGCAGGTAGATTGCTGTGACTTTTGGGGCCAGCCTAGTCCACATAGTGAGTTCTGGGACAACCAGGGCTACATAGTGAGACTCTGTCTCAAAAAACAAAAACAAAAATGAGAGAGAGAGAGAGGGAGAGAGAGAGAGAGAGAGAGAGAGAGAGAGCTTCCAAGCTTCCTACTGCCTCCGCCACTCCGGTGCTGGAATTACGGGCATGGGCCACCACACCCAGCTTTGACATGGCTTCTGGGGTTTGAACTCAGGTCCTAATGCTTACAAGGCGAGCAGTTTACTAACTGAGCCATTTCTCTGGAACCTGATTCTTTGTTTAAATGGGAACAGACTTCTGGGTTAAGATGCTGAAAGGTTAGGCTGTCCTCGGAGAAAAGAAGAGAGGAAAGCAGAGGCTCTCAGACGACAAGATTCACTCTTCACTACGGGAATTCCAAGACAGACCCGAGGTAGGATGAGACTGTCATACAGAAGTCGTCAAGTAGCACACAATGAGACGGGGTGGCACAGTCTGCTGTGGGGGAGAGAAAGCTGTGTCACCGATATGAAGGCATCTCTGAGGAACACGGGCCAAAGCAAAGTGGGGAGACTCTGAGCCTGACTAGACAAACAGGGCCCAGCCTCTGGGCAGAACCTGAGCTGGATGCCTGGTGGACACCTGGGTACCAGCTGTAAGGACTGCAGGGCACACAGCTGGGAAGGGAAAATCAAGCTTCTAACTCTTGTTTTAAAAAGTTATATGCCCTTTACTTTTCGGTCCCTGAGAAAGAGAAAATAATCCATCCCTCTTTGCATTGTTAGAAGTGTAAAATGATGCAGTTAAAGCCTGAGGCACGGTGCTTGGCACATCATAAATACTCAAAAATTAGAAGCCATTATCGTTAATAAATATAACATGTTCCATAGCTGTTTATTAACTTGGTGATGTTGCAGGGGACCAAAGATAGGAAGTAATGGCAAAAGAGGAAAAATGGATACAAGGTAGTGCCCTTTGCTTAAAAGTCCTTTGTCTCTCAAGAGCTAGGGCTGTCCTGGCCATTTCTATGAGACCCAAGAGGTCACTTTCTATACTGGGAGGCACCTGGAATCTCGCTTATAAAAGCCATGTGCTTACCATATGATCACAAGCCCTTCCTAAAAAAAAAAAAAAAAGAGGAAAGGGAAGAAGTTAAAACGCATACACAAAGCAGTTGATTCAATAAAGAGCTTTTGGCGAGTGTTCATTCCAGGATAATAAACCAAGCGAAACGTCTGGCTGTGTTTAAAATCAACAAAGCCAGCAGGAAAGGCAGAGAGACGGCAAGAAGTGATCAGCTTGTTTTTAAAGCTGCCGACAGTGCTGCTTCAGCAGGGACCGGTGTAGAGCAGCCCCCAGAGAGGAGAAAGGAGACAGATGCAGGCAGGATGGAAGCCCGGGGCAGGGGAAGAGGAATGCAGATGTAGCCTAAGGATCCTGGAGAAGAGTTTTCGCCAGGATTGGAGGCCGCTTCAGGAGCCTCAGATACTACTAGGATCCACACAGCTATATAATGAAACTACTAACGATGGCTACGTGTTTGGAGTATTCCACCCCGTGCCACCCTGTGCCAAGCTCCCTGCTTGCGATATTCTCTCCATCCTACAGGTGAGGAAGTTGAGATTCCGAAGGGGGTAACGGCACGTGCCCACAGCTGCCATTTAACTCATCTCTGGGCAAAGAGTGACGTTGCCTTTAGCTCAGGAAGGGCTCACTAGCAAGACCTGCTAACCAGCTAGATGCCGCGTGGGGGATGCAAACTGGAAGGATGCGTGTGGAAAATGACAGATGGTACGCTTAAACCCAACTGATGTCCAGGAGAAGCCAGTCATGATGTCATCAGATGAAAGGACTTTTGGCACCTATCTGCATGCAATGGAGACCCAGACTGGCCCCGAAGTGTCTTGCCGAGCACTCAAAATGCCCTGGGACGGGTGCCATACCGATGGTGCAGTGCTCGCCATTCCAGCCGGGGCTGCATTCACACTTGCCATCGCGGCAGGTCCCGTGCTCTGCGCAACGAGGGTGGCAGGCCCGCTGGTCGCACGCGGCCCCCATCCAGCCGTCCTCACAGCGGCAGGTGCCTCCTACGCAGACGCCATGGCCACCACAGTCAGCAGCACAGATCTCTGCGGGCAAGAAAGAGGGGCAGAGGGGCAGGGGTGGGAGGAGAGAGAACAAAAACTCATTGAGCCAGTTGTTGCTGGGAACAAGGGTCACACTTGGCCACCTAGTTAGGCTCTGTGAGCGGTGGGGGATTCCAGAGGCTTGGCCCAGTAATCTCCATGGACAATGCCCGCGAAGAACAAGCCCTCAGCAGAAGCCTGCCAGCACTAACTAGCCTCGTCACCAGAGTCGGGGGATTGTGTAGCTCCGCTCTGTTTGCTTTTCCCTTTGCCAGTCTGTCCCTGCCTTTGTGCCTGCCACTTCCAAAGGGGACCGGCCTTCTGAACAGATGTGAGAAAAAGTCACATTTAATTAAAAACCAGTTATGTGTGAAAACAAAGTGAGGATGAGTCCCTGTCACCAAATGAAGTGCTTGTGGGCCGGGCGAGGACCCCATGAAGGGCTTCTCTACAGCCTGGACTCCAGTGGAGGCAGGGAGAGAGAGAGGGGGTGGGGGTTGGGAGGTGGGTGGAGGGTGGTCCACTCGTGTGTTTTTCAGGGTTGTCCCAGATCTAGGTTTGTCCTGCAATGCTGGATTTAGTCTCCGTCCTTCAGCTTAACGCTCCCCACAACTCCAGGCACCATTTAAATGAGCTTTCAGTTCCAAAGTAAACAGCTGGGGGAGGAGGACACTTCATGGCCAGAGTGGGGCTGCCTTGTCCTTCACAAAGGCTGGTCTGTGTGGGTGCAAAACACACAGGGCCTGATTCACAAGTCCCTTGGGCTCCAAGTCAGCAGCGGCTTCATGCTTACTGAAAAGCTGGGACTAACAGGCTTCTAAACTGTAACTGCTTTTTAGGAAACTTATGTAGCACCCCTCCACCCCACATACACACCCAGGATCTTCTCCAGGGCTCCGATGGAGGCCTAGACTTGATTGACTCATGCCTCATGGCCCAACAGTCCTCCGATGTGTGTGAAAATCCCAACAATTTGAAATTGCTTTGCAGCTGGGTTAAGTGGCACCTATGGCAATCGGTCCCCACCCTTTTCTCCCTTGTGAGAGGCACTGCTGGTCTAGAAGTTACTTACAGTCTAGGTACCTTTATAAAAGGAAAGGAAAGTGGCTGGGAGGAGGCTCGCTAAGAGTGTTTGCTGTGTAAGCGGAAGTCACCTTAGCTTGTCACCCCTGTACCCACGTAAGAGCTTCCCATGGCTACAATTGCCTGCAGCCTCAGGGTCTCCCAGCTAGCCAGCTTGGTTGAGCTTCAGGTTTAGTGAGAGATGCTGTCCTCAGAGGAATACGGTAGAGGGAGATAGAGTAGGGTGAGTGCGCATGCACACACACACACACACACACACACACACACACACACACACCATAAAGAAAATAAAATTGGATCTCAGTGGTTCTGCCTTTTTTTTTATACCAACCTAGATGACAACAGACACAGAGCTGGGAAATTTAAAAATCATGGTAAGAGTTGCTATTTCTGTTGTGTTTCTACACAGATATCTCACCAATGTGGCACCTCAGGATGGAGACTGCGGCTCCGTGCGGTGTACATGGCATCTCTCAGCTGTCCAGGGACAGGAGCAGTTGTGACATGGAGCCAGGCACCAGGATCAGGCCAGGCCCGGGAGCTTCTGAGCTAGCTGTAGGACTGTCCTTTGGATCCACCGAGCCACAGCTTTTGGTTCAGAGGGTGTGGACAGTGACGCCCTGCTCCAGAACAGCCCTCGGTTGATCTACAGACAGTGCTCCGAGAAGAGGAAAACACAGAGGGCCGAGGAACTCAAGATGGAGGGCAGGGCAGCTCACCTCCCACTGGTCACTTAGCTCCTCTCTCTGGGTGCCAACTTCCTTTTCTACTTCTAGGGGAGCCTGAAGATGTCTAAAGTCCTGTTGGGCACCAAGACAGATTCTATGCTACAATACCCTCCATGATACACAGTACAACCAGCAGGCCCAAGGCTTGCTCGAGGTCTCTCCTCCTCTAAGGAGTCTCCTGTAATTCACCAGTGGTTAGCTGCTTGCTCCTGCTCACCCTATACTACACTTCAAGGCGCTTCTCCGTGTTTCAGTCAGATCTGCAGCAGCCCCGGGCTCAGGCTCCTTCCTCCAATCACCTCTGTTCCTGAATTGATGCTTGTTAAATAAGAGACAGATCAAGATGCCCCATGTGACAAGGGCCTGAGGGCTGAGAGTTCCTGTGTTTGCCACTCAGCCTGGCTCAATGTCCAGCAAGCCTGTCTCTCTGCATCTCTGCAGGCTGAAGATGGAACTGTGGAGCTCACATCTCACATCCAGCAGCTCTCCAGGGTGGCATTCTCCTCAGACAACATCTTGGGCTTTCCCAAAGACAAAGAGCAACAAGCTTCAGGCTCCAGACCCCTGTGTGGGTCATGGGTTGGGTCATATCTCTGACACTCCCATCTATTTGTGCACACTCAAAGGGCAGTGACCTCCTGGTGACTCTGGGGGCTGGCTGAGCACCCTGGGAGAGAAGAAGAACTCAGCATCTGTTTGGGTTTGCCCAGCACTTTTTCCAAGTGGCAGTTGATGGTGTGAAAGTAAACAGCGGATAGTACTTCTGTTCACTGAGGTGTGAACGGGGAGACAGTAAGCAGCTGAGACCAAAGCTGTGGCATTTTAGGCAGCAGGGCATAAAGAGGCAGAGAACAGAGAGCCAGGCTTTGCCCTACACTTACCTACAGGCCTTCAAGTCTTAGCTAACAGGTGAGGGCATCCCTCTGTCTTTGGTATCAAAGGAGCTTGGTCCCCACACCACTAACCCCTTGAATACCCAAATCCATAGGTGCCCAAGTCCCTTAGATAAAAGAGTACAGGTGTGTTTAAAGGACATACAGCCTCCTCTATACTTTAAATCATCTCTAGCTTAGTTTTCATGCCCAAACAACTGTTTGTAGCTGTTTGCTATCTGTGTAGAGAATGGTGGCAAGAAAAAGAAATCTATATTCAGTGTAGATGAAACTTTTGTTTCCAGTCTACAGTTGGTCGACTCTCCAGATGCAGAAGTTATGGACGGAGAATGTGGGCTTCTCCTCAGACTTATTAATTAGGCAGTGTTGACCTCCAGCCTGGTGACCTGCTCAGTTGCTCTGAGCTTCCCTTCCTTCCTCTGTATAAGGGAAATGCTGAGAGCCACACTGCAGAGGCGACTTGGTGCCTGATCTAAGGGTCAGGGAACCCTACTGATTCACTTCTAGTGATTTTTCACACATGTTTACCCTGAGCCCGAACTGTGCCCAGTGCTGGAAATGAACAGGCCAGTGAGATACAATCTCTGCTCCAAGAGAGCACAGTCCACATAAAACACAAAGTGATATTGGCATTCTAAATAGTCAGTATATGCATATGGCATATGTATTTATACATAGCCATCACTAACGCCTGGACCTTTTTGATTGGCTACAATGGATTAAAACCATGGATCTAAAGAGGAGCTAGATCTGGGACTTACCCATGGCTTTGTCACTTACTGACTGAATACATTGCACTGCATTATACAATCCATTGAGCCTCACTTTGCATTTCTGTAAAACAGGGGGATAACTTTCACTGCACTACTCTCACTGGCCTGGTATTAGATCACATGAGGTAATGTGGGGGAGAGATATTTTTGATTTAACACTCCCATCAAGTTTCACACCTTCCGAAGCACATTTCACATACTGTTTCTCACTAATTCTTACAATAATCCTGTGAGAACACCTTGTTACTGTCCTTCTTAGAGAGGTGGCTTCTGAGAGCTACACAGTCCACGGACGCTTGATAAGGTCTTGCAGGCATCTCCTGTATTTCCCTTCTTTTGGCAGTCCAGCAAAGCAGACATTTCTTTAAATGAAGCCTCAGAATAAGCAAGACACATACCCGGAGAGACCTTCCTCAAAGATCCAGCCAGCCCCTCTTACACACTTCTGGCCCCATTGTTTTTCCTTTGTTACATCCAATTCTAATCCTGGGAGTCCACGAGATGAAATGGGATCTTCCGGGCAGAGTTCCCAGGATGACATTGCATTTTGTTCTTTGCATGTGGAGTTGGATCACGTCTAAGCACTCTACTTTCTTTCTGGTTTATGCTGGACATATTCTCCCATTGTCTAAAGGTGCCTGGTGGCTGGGTACCCCTCCACAGGCCCTTTACAAGCTGACTTGTGAGCTCTTGCACATTTTAATGGAAGGGGCCCAAACCGGGTGACCTTGATGTTTATGGGGTGCTAACTGATGGTAACACAGAAAAGCCTGTTTGACCTAGTGGAAGAGACCCTCAATGCATGACGGGAGGAGAAACCTGAGACTCTACTTTACCATTTGGCTTCAGATTGTAGTCTCTATTTTTCTCCTCAATACTTTGATTTATTATTTTTGCCTGTGAAATGAAAGGAGCTGTTTTATTTTTCCTTCTCAGATTCTGCCTTGACATTAAAGCAGATAAAACTTCACAGAATGCTTGGTGAGAACCAAACAGGACAAAGCTCTAGAATGTGCTTTGACGGCTCATATGCCATTTACATAACAGAAACAGTCTTCTATGAAAGTGGGTCACAGCTCCTCTCTAAATCTCAGGTTTCCTTCTTTCTAAATGGGGGTGGTGGGCAGGGAGGGGGGCATCGGCCACTTTCAAGAGTGTTGCTGCAGGGCTCATTCTTGCATGAGTAATTTCCTAAGGGCAAAAGTGACAGTGGACTTGAGAATCAAACCCTGGCAAACCTTGCTTCCCTGTCCCCTAGGAGTTGGGCTCCAGCACAGCAGATGATTGTAGCCTAGGTCTATCAGGTTAGATGAATTGGCATGCCCCAAAGTAAGAAGCCTAGCATAGAATCTATGCCTGGCACAGTCAGAACATGATAAATTCCACATGTACTTTTGATTTATTTGTTTTTTCAATGATAAAAAGGAAACAAGACATGGCGAATGTGGCAAAGCCAAAAGATCAGTGTGCATGCTGATGTTCGCCTCACACCTAACGTAAGAAAACACTGGGCAATGGCTTCTTAGCTCTCATGCCACCAGAAACAGAGTTTTCTGTCTGAATGCGGAGGGCCCCAGGGTCTGGAAAGAAATTGTTTGTGACACACAAGTGGTAGGGTAGACTTGTGTTCAGATGGGAGCCCCAAACTTCCCAGCTGTGGGCCCCTGGGAAAATTCCTTGACCTTTCTCAGCCACACTGTTTCACTTGATCTGTTGAACAATCAGAGAGAGAGATAAAGAAAGGCTTCCTGGAGAAGTCAGTGCCATGTCTGTTAGTTCAAGTCCATCTCAGGGCCATGATATACAAAAATTACCAACAAATACGTTCAAACAGAGGTTCAATATTCTCAGTAGATAAGCTCTTTAGACCCCCATCTCCGATCGTTATGAACTTTGTAACTGTAACGTCTCGGTCCGTACACCTGCAGACCCATCTTCCTTGTGTTACGCCCTGATCTGTCCCCATCACCTGTCTACGACACGGAAGGAAGTGGACACATGAGAAACAGGCGAAAAGGGTAGGAAAAGATGTAAGAGTTGATTATTGGTAATTATGCCCCAAAGTGTATATACATCATGGAAAAGTTGCCCCAGGCTCCTCTCATTAACCACTGATCTCCGTTCAAGCCAAGATGAAGCCTGGGACCTATCACAGGTGTGTTTTAATTTGCAGAGACTTACTTGGCATCTCGTTTGTTAGAAAAGCTGGTAGGTGAAGCTGTATCTTTACTCTAATGGAAGAGATTCATGCACACTTTCCTCATAAAGTATCATCTACTTGGAAAGAGGCACGTTGGCACAAACTGGGAGTAGAGAGGGCACCCCACCCAAATGCCTGAACATGCCAATGGAACCAGGGAAATGAGGTGAAGATGGTTTTGAAATTTCTTGGGAGTGGAAACAGCCTGCCCTGTGTGACCTCTGGGAACTCTTCCTAAGTCTGTATTGAGCCCTTAAGGGGGTTCTATGGTTCCATGTTGCTTAGGACCCGAGGTTTGGAGAATGACCTTAGAAATTTCAGTAGAGGGCTTAATAGTTTAAAATGTTTCCGGATAGCATTTTCTGTCTAATTACTTATCTTTGAAATCTTGGCAGATGTTAAGTCCAAGTCACACTAGCCAGCATGAGTCAAAACAAGGAAGGAACGATGTGTCCACATGTTCCAGAGTTATTGGTGGTGCTCATACATACCCCCTCGTTAACACCTCGGGACAGTTAGATTTGCACTCCCATGTCCCAGCTGAGCGAACAGCTCGGGCAGATGAAGTGGTTTGCTCAGCAGTCTATTATCGAGAATGAAAGATGACTGTCTAGCCTAGCTTTCTTGGTCTGTCAATTGTGCAATCAATTGAGGTAAGGCCTCTGATGCAGTCTGACAGTGTTCTGTGAGTATAAATTGTTTAGCAGATCATTGCCTGCGTTAAACAACAATGACTGCTGAAATTGGAAACCAAGTCTCCTTCCTCACTCTACTCTAAACCCTATTAGATTAACCGCCTCTCTTCTGCTTTTTTCTCTATCCGTCTGCCCAAACATCAGACTCTCTGTCTGTCTAACCAGCCACTTCATCATTTAGCATGTCGCCATCCACCCACCCAAAGCATCTGGTTTGGATAAGTTGCTTTATCTTTCTATGCCCCTGCTTTCTCAAAAATCGCATAGAAACATGCAAAATGAGGTAAAAAGATACCAAGGTCTTGGGACCAGTTCTATGAAGTCTGAGGAAGGTGCTTCATATTCTTTCCACCTTCCATGGAGTAAACGGTTATTATACAGCAAGCACATCATGTTTGTGTACTGGAAATAGCCAGGGGAAGGGAGATTCCAAGATGGGAGGGGAACAAGGAGATGGCATCCCGCTGAGGTGTCTTTGAACAGTTGGTGAGCACTGAATCCAGAGTGTAATTGGAGGGATAGGCTTTGTAGGCAGCTCATCAGTTGGGCATAGAATACAGGCTGAGAGATGTATGGGGCACAGACTGTGTAAGGGACCATCCAGAATAATGGGGAGGGGTTAAACAATAGTGTCAGTCCTCAGGAAGTAGGGAGCAAGAATACCTGCCAAATGGAGTGCTGGTGAATAGATGTGGACACTGAGATAGCCTCTGCGGACTGAGCACTATAGCTCCGAGTGTGTGGAGAGCCGCAGCTGGAGGGCATGGGAGAGGTTGCCCATCATACCCATGCGCAGTCTGCCTGCTGGAGGGCTGTGTGTCCAGAGGTAGTGAGCAGTTGAGTGAGCCTGGGAACTGAAAGGTGGGTGAGAAGGAGAGGTGCAGACACAAGGGACCTGGGTGGTGAATGATACCTACGACCCTGGGATGGGGTAGAAACGGAAGAAGGAGGGAGAGCCAGGGGAGAGCTGAAGGTGGCTTGTAGGTGGCAGGCTGTCACCAGGAGATCCTCTCAAAGTGGATGGAGAGTCAAGGGAGGGAGAGCCGAGGACTCAGAGGGGGCACTTCTGTGGTTAGAGCATGGGAAGGCAGCCCAGAAACCTTCTAGCCATTCTATGGACAGGAAGGCAAGGCAAGAAGGATAAGGGAGCCTTGCCTTCTGTACGTGGTGACATACGTGCCAGTATTTGAGCAAGACCTTGTTATCTACCTCAGAAAAGCAGTCATGAGAGCCATCTTTGCCAATGCCACAGGAGAGCAGCCATTATACTTCAGGGCCCTTCCTCTGAGATTCTGCATGGGTTCTTCCCATGTGGCCCTCCTTGGGTCCATCTACATAGGCTCAAGTCTAAACACTCTTTCAGTTCCCGCTCAGACACCAGCTCCCTTTTGGGCCCCCCTCCTTTAATCCTGACTGGAAGCAGCCTCGTCTTTTCTGCTCCCAACACTCCAGGGCTCCCCTGCATGCACTATTTTCTCAGGGTCATTAGTCTACAGGCATTGCCTGGAGGGCCCTGCCACCACAGATTAATGTCTGCATTTCCTGGCGAGTCTCACACAGCAAATGTGTCTTCCACTACTTCTCTATGTTGCCAATACTTCCGGCATGGGCGCAAGTGTGCCATGTCATTATGCAAGGTTCTCTGACTTTGCACGGAGCAAAGGGTCAAAGTCAGGTAAGGACCTGTGTGTTCGGCCACTCCCTACCTGTGGAGAACAAGAGCTGCCTACCTCTGAGCCTCAGCTGTGACATTTCTAAGATTGTGATAATGACGACTCTCCACCAGAAGTTTAAAAGTAATTCAAAAATAGGCCGAGCATCTGCTATGTACATGATATCCCTAGAAGCTCAGGATGTGGAGATAATATAAAATTAGACCTCTCTCTAAGGAACCCATGTGCAAAAACTAACACAAAGCCAGCCACTTGCCCAGCACATGGTAGGTTATTAGAGTACAGTTAATTTTTCTCCCCAGGGTGAGAATCTCCTTGTACTTCCAACAAACTATCGTTCCCCAAATATGGCAGCTCCTCCTTCCTCCCCTTGCAAGCTGAGCAGATGGTTGTTTTGTCTCAGTGCAGGTTTCTGGAAGAAACCAGGAGAGGAAGCAGGTACAAAAAGAGCCTCTGACATCCGTCCCTGCA